AAAAAAAAAAAAAAAAAAAAAAAAAAAAAAAAAAAAAAAAAAAAAAAAAAAAAAAAAAAAAAAAAAAAAAAAAAAAAAAAAAAAAAAAATCTGCCAGTAAAGAAAATGATTCATGAGTTTGATCTGAAGAAGGCATGAGATAAAACACCATCCCATCTCATTCATTAAACTTTCCAAAATTGATAAAATTAAGATTTTATTTTATTTTTTTAATTTCAAAATTTTGTGTTCATGTTCCTTTGTTAATTATTATTAGGGATATGGTCATGGAGACACATTTAATTTCCTTAAACGACACAAGGACAACATATGACTTTTAGGGTTCTTTCCTGATTTTTGTTTTTTAAATTTTAGTTATGTTCTAATCATGAATTAAATTTTAATTTTAATTTCTAAAAATATTTAATAAATTCTTAAACTATATAGTAAATAATATCATATCATATATATATATATAAACAAATTTATAAATTATATATGATATCTCAAACATTATTATCATAATCAAGCCTTGCCATGCATACAAATTTGAACTTTCATAGACATTGATCTTAATTAAAATTAAAAATAATTAATAATTATCATAATTATCATAAATAGCTGGCTTCCCATCAAAGTATTCTGCCCTTTGATTCTGTAACCAATCCTTTAGGTAAATTGATTTAACCAAGTTTATAATTATTCACTTTTGCAGTTACTAAAATTTCCATATTTTTTCTAAAAATAATATCTTAATTAATTTTCAACGCTAATTAAGATTTATGCATCCACTTAGCCAGTTGTAATGATCTTCAAGTTTCCTAATACAAACCACTCTTTTTTATACATTATTTTATTTTATTTTTTCCATTTATATTCTAAAAACTTAATTATTTGATTTTTTTTCTTTTTTTTTAGCCAATTTGTGGGAATATATATATATATATATATATATAATTTTTTTAATTACATAATGGGTTTTAAAGCAGGTTTAAAATGAAGAAAATAGTGATAAAATATTGATGTCGATATATATTTCTAAGAAAATAATAAAAAAGAACTACTTAGCTTAATAAACAACATTTTTTACGATGTTAAGAAAATATGAATAGTAATAAAAATGTCGAGCTCGAATTTTAAGGTTAAAATGGTAGGAGAAGTTATAAGGTCAGATTCGTTATTAATTAAGTAAGACTAGATAATTATCCTATCAATATATTAGGTAATATTAATTGAAAAAAGCCCTAAATAAGGTAAATTATAAGAATCGTAACCCTATGCACTGTTACTAGATTACTTGCTCACTTAGGGTTTTTTATTTATTTTATTTTTATTTAATATGTTTAAATGACTTTTTGATAGCAATAAATTGGATGACTAATTGTAATAAACTTTATACAAGTTGGTGTTTTGAAAGTTATTAGATAAATTTCTTCAATTACCTTTTAATTAAATTAATTTAAATTTTATACCATGCATTTAAAACGTACAAATTTTAAGTGATTTGAACTTTATAAAAAACTACGTGTCAATTACCGTTCAACTATAATTTAAACTTTTTTCTATCTCTATAATGAAATGTTATCAGTAAAACATATATTTTTTCGTGTTCATTCATTTGATGAGCTAATTTAGCTAAATTACAAGTTTAGCCTCTAGTTGGCCTTCCAAATTTACAAATTTAGTCGCGAAACTATGATAATTTTTTAAATTTTGTAGATATATGAGATACAAAGTTGAAGTTTTATTAAACATAAAATCTAAATTTAAATATATTTTTTTTTAATGTTTAGAGACTAAATAGATACAAATATGATTGAGAGATTGTCTATTAATTTCAATCCATATTTATAGGTTTGATTAAGAAAAAAAAGTTCAAATTTTGGGAACACATTGCAAAATTAAAAAGGAAGGTAATTGTTGGCATCCATTCATACAAAGATTAGCTCTTCACAACCTTTCATAAAGATGAGAATGAATGTTAGCATATGGTAGGTGTAATGAATGTTAAGTTATATACTACCAGTTTTTCTATCTATAGTTATACATAAAAAGATATTTTATAAGGTGTTCGACAGAATGCCTCAAAATGGCTTTGCAAGGAAGGCATTGGAGTTGGCTTTGAGGATGCAAGATGAAGGCCAAGGCCTGATTTGATTACATTTGTTACTGTTTTGCCTGCTGTTGCTGATGTTTGTTCATTCGTTCGTCACGGGTATGCCATTAGAGCTGGGTTTGCAAAGCTTGTTAATATTTCAACTGCTCTGGTTGATGTGTACTCAAAATGTGGGTCAGTGGATCAGAGGACTGTTGTGTCATGGAACTCCATGATTGTTGGATATGTGCAAAGTGGTGAACCAGAGATGGCTATTGCAGGAGGAAGGGATAGAGATAAGCTAAGCAATATAATACTTGTGGAAGCTTTGCATGCCTATGCCAATTTGGGCGATCACAAGAGGGAGAAGTTGCTCGATAAGTTAAATCTTGGTTGTGATGTCTCTGTCATGAACTCATGGATCTCTTTGATATAACGTTAAACGAGGAACAATCGAGCCAAATGATATATGTTTTTGTGTCATCTTTACCCGCAGTCACTGGCATGGTGTGAGGGAATCTAGTATTTCAAGAAAATGGATTAAAGCCTTTGATGGATCACTACAGTGCCATGGCCGACCTTCTCGATCGAGTTGGTAAGATCAAGAAAGCCTGAGATTTTATTAAAAACATGCACATTAGTTTGGGAGCACAACTCATTTACAATCTAAGAGAATATATGCTTTTTTTTTTCTTTTTCTTTTTTTTTAAGAACTTGAAATCAAGGTAGCTGGCTATGTGCCAAATACTAACTCGATTCACGACGTAGAGGACGATGTGCAGGAGCAGCTCCTCAATAGCCATAGCGAGAAGCTCGCCATTGCTTTTGGTCTTTTAAATACCAGTCCCGATACTATGATACACGTCCAAAAGAACCTACAAGTGTGGAGATTGCTACAACCAAGTATATGACTATGTTTGCTACAACTCATTCCATTCCTTGATACATTTATGCTATTATAATTAGATGCAGACAATTTTCATATGCAAAACTCATAAGAAATGGCTATTATCATACAAGATTTAAGCAGACTATAGAGTTAACTTGTATCTGAGAAGCTAACATGAACATAATTCTTCCAGTGACACAAAAAAAACTTGGTTCGAATCTCTTACTTTAGGGAACCGTGTACTCAACTTCCATCGGTAGATTCATAGTAAAATAATACTGTTTTTGATTGTTCCAAAAGACACAATAGAGCTGAGAAGGTAATTTTCTAAGTTCGACCTAATATTAGAGGTACAAGAAGCATAATAAATCGATATGAACATCAAGAGCTGTCCCTAATAAAACCTATGGTTGCTATACTTTCCGCTCGGTTCCACAATTCCAAATGCAAACGAAGTGGGTCCATTTTTCTTTTCTCGTTCTAAAATGAAACAACATACAAAAGCTCAAGATGTTGTAATAGAATTAGCTAGCAGCCTCAATAGAAAGGGAAAAAAGCCTCCATTTCAAGATATCATTGTATTCAGAATTAGGCTACAAACTTAACAAAGCCAAGAGACAAACAATAAGAGATTTAGCTAAGAACAGCCTCAAATTGGAAGGGAAGGGAGGTCTACCACTGTGAGAGGAGAGAGATCATGAAAAGCTAAAGAAAACGGCTCTCCCATTTCAAAATCATGGTACTAAAATTTAGAAGATAAGAAGAATTTGACTTGCAACCTTCCAATCCTATAGAACAGGTCTGGATTCGGCTGCCGCATTGCCCCTGTATATGTCCATAAGATCTGGGACTTCATCCAAATGCTTAAGAACATAATTCGTGACAAAATTTCTCTCCCCTAGAAAAAGTAACCAAGCAATCTTTCTGTTCTTAATCAGTTTTTTGACCTTCAAAACCTCAAGAACTTTGAACCTTGGCCGGAGACACTTGTCGAGTCCAGACATGAAGAACTTGGGGTAAGAAATTACAGTTTCTGGGTCCAATTTTGCAGTGTTCAAACAGAAATCTGCAACAGCCCTCATTTTCTCCTCTGAACAAGCTAAACAATATGGGTCTCTCTTAAATGCTGTTAAAATCTCCTTCTCAGACCATCCCAAACTCTTCAAAACATTTATTTTCTTCTTCCAAGTTGTGTCACTTATGGACACCACTACACGAAGCGCATGAACAAACATACGGGTGTGTGGTTCAATGCCCAATTCCTTGACCTTCTTCACTGCACAAACCATTCTATCAACCTTTTGCATAATAGTTCTTGGTTGCAGCCCAATCAATTTCGATATATTCCTAGAAGGTACGCCTTCACCGAGCAAAACATTAACGTTAGATTGCATAACACCCTTAAAACTAGAAGTTAGAAGCCACGAAGATCGACGAATAGCAACATTAGCCTGCTCATCCGATTCAAGCATTTCCTTAATGAAACAAAACGATGGTTTCAAATGAGAATCTAAGCCCCTCAGCAGAATACCGGGGTTCGATAAAATTACCTTTGGAAGTAAAGGACCGACAAACCCTATATCCTTGAGGAACTCGAATTTAGGCTTCAGATTGTTGTAGACTCTCGATTGAAGGATAGAGGGTTGCTTCGCGATCAACTTGGCGATCTGCGAATTCTCGAATCCATATGATTTCAAGAAACCAAGAACGGCTTCGTACTTCTTGGCGCTTTTTTCATCGAATTGAAGCTTTCGACCGGCGGAAAAAGGAGAATCCGCAGCAAGCCCACAAGAGTTCTTGAGGAATTCAATCGTAGACACAGACGCTAAAGGCAATGTAGAACTAGAAACCGTATTGATGAACCGATTTTGGATGAAATAGAGCAAAAATGTCGAGGAAATTTTAGACATTTTGGGATCGGTATATCGAAGTTCAAGCAATGGTTTTCGTTAGGGTTTTGAGCTCCAAGAACACCCGCAGAGTTGAAAGGAGAAAACCCATTCAACGTCAGATTTTGAAGTCGCAGAGCTCGCAAATTTGGGTGTTTTTATTTCCCAGTTCGAATATATATATATATATATCAAAATTTAAAAAATAAAATAATATTACCCTTTTAACTTTTTTTTGGGGTGAGTATTCCAATATTTAAATTTTTAGTAAATTAAAAGGATAATAATTTCACACCAATGAATTTTTTTTGTCTTCCTTAAACTAAAATCATTTAAAGCTAATCTCGTGTGTGACAGTCATATTGAAAATTTTAGCTATTTGCAGTTTACATGATCGCTTATTAATGCTCCCTTAACTCTTTCTCTAAAAAATTCCTTAACTCATTCTAGACTTGCATATGTTAAACTTATACCTAGATAGTTTCGCGCATGCAAGATGAAGGCCAAAGGCCTAATTCGGCCGTTGAACCAAATGATATTACATTTTGATATGTTATTTCTATTAGTAATCACTCAGGTCCAGTGGACGAGACTTTACTATTTAAAGAGCATGAAACAAGACTAGATTAGAGCCTTCGATGAGTCAATACGGTGCCATGGTCAACCTTTTCGGTCGAGATGGTAGGATCAAGGGAAGCCTGAGATTAGTCCAAGGATTACAATATGTGGTGCCATGTTGGGTGCTCGTAAAAATTTACAAAAACATTGAATTGGGAGAGAAAGCAGCCAACAAATATTTATGCATATGCTTCAAAGTGGGGCAAGATGGCTGCAGTGACAAAAATAATCGAGAAGAAAGGGCTTCAAGAAACTCATGCACTACTCATGCACAATCCAAAAGAATATATGCCTTTCTTGAGGAACTTTGAGATGAAATCAAGGTAGCTGCCTATGTGCCAAATACTAACTCGATTCATGACATAGAAGACGATGTGCAGGAGCAGCTCCTCAATAGCCATAGCGAGAAGCTCGCCATTGCTTTTGGTCTTTTAAATACCAGTCCCGATACTATGATACACGTCCAAAAGAACCTACAAGTGTGGAGATTGCTACAATCAAGTATATGACTATGTTTGCTACAACTCATTCCATTCCTTGATACATTTATGCTATTATAATTAGATGCAGACAATTTTCATATGCAAAACTCATAAGAAATGGCTATTATCATACAAGATTTAAGCAGACTATAGAGCTAACTTGTAAATAAGAAGCTAACATGAACATAATTCTTCCAGTGACACAAAAAAAACTTGGTTCGAATCTCTTACTTTAGGAAACCGTGTACTCAACTTCCATTGGAAGCACTTGCTGCCCAAGAAGAAGTAGAAAGTTTTTGTAGCAAATTCTATTTGTTTTTCGCCGCTTTGGGCCTGCCCGCTCCCTCATAGTCCATTAGTGGGTAGGGTGGTAAACTGATAGGGCGCTCGCCTCCTCTCGATTCATAGTAAAATAATAATGTTTTTGATTGTTCCAAAAGAAATGAACAAAAGACACAATAGAGCTGAGATGGTAATTGTCTAAGTTCGACCTAATATTAGAGGTACAAGAAGCATAATAAATCGATATGAACGTCAAGAGCTGTCCCTAATAAAACCTATGGTTGCTATACTTTCTGCTCGGTTCCACAATTCCAAATGCAAATGAAGTGGGTCCATTTTTCTTTTCTCGTTCTAAAATGAAATAACTTACAAAAGCTCAAGATGTTGTAATAGGAAGGGAAAAAAGCCTCCCATTTCAAGATATCATTGTATTCAGAATTAGGCTACAAACTTAACAAAGCCAAGAGATTTAGCTAAGAACAGCCTCAAATTGGAAGGGAAGGGAGGTCTACCACTGTGAGAGGAGAGAGATCATGAAAAGCTAAAGAAAACGGCTCTCCCATTTCAAAATCATGGTACTAAAATTTAGAAGATAAGAAGAATTTGACTTACAACCTTCCAATCCTATAGAACAGGTCTGGATTCGGCTGCCGCATTGCCCCTGTATATGTCCATAAGATCTGGGACTTCATCCAAATACTTAAGAACATAATTCGTGACAAACTCTCTCTCCCCTAGAAAAAGTAACCAAGCAATCTTTCTGTTCTTAATCAGTTTTTTGACCTTCAAAACCTCAAGAACTTTGAACCTTGGCCGGAGCCACTTGTCCAGTCCATACATGAAGAACTTGGGGTAAGAAATTACAGTTTCTGGGTCCAATTTTGCAGTGTTCAAACAGAAATCTGCAGCAGCCCTCATTTTCTCCTCTGAACAAGCTAAACAAAGTGGGTCTCTCTTAAATGCTGTTAAAATCTCCTTCTCAGACCATCCCAAACTCTTCAAAACATTTATTTTCTTCTTCCAAGTTGTGTCATTCATGGACAACACTACACGAAGCGCACGAACAAACATACGAGTCTGTGGTTCAACGCCCAATTCCTTGACCTTCTTCACTGCACAAACCATTCTATCAACCTTTTGCATAATAGTTCTTGGTTGCTGCCCAATCAATTTCGATATATTCCTAGAAGGTACCCCTTCACCGAGCAAAACATTAACGTTAGATTGCATAACACCCTTCAAATTAGAAGTTAGAAGCCACGAAGATCGACGAATAGCAACATTAGCCTGCTCATCCGATTCAAGCATTTCCTTAATGAAACAAAACGATGGTTTCAAATGAGAATCTAAGCCCCTCAGCAGAATAGAGGGGTTCAATAAAATTACCTTTGCAAGTAAAGGACCGACAAACCCTATATCCTCGAGGAACTCGAATTTAGGCTTCAGATTGTTGTAGACTCTCGATTGAAGGATAGAGGGTTGCTTCGCGATCAACTTGGCGATCTGCGAATTCTCGAATCCATATGATTTCAAGAAACCAAGAACGGCTTCGTACTTCTTGGCGCTTTTTTCATCGAATTGAAGCTTTCGACCGGCGGAAGAAGGAGAATCCGCAGCCAGCCCACAAGTGTTCTTGAGGAATTCAATCGTAGACACAGACGCTGAAGGCAATGTAGAACTAGAAACCGTATTGACGAACCGGTTTTGGATGAAATAGAGCAGAAATTTCGAGGAAATTTTAGACATCTTGGGATAGGAATGTCGAAGTTCAAGCAATGGTTTTAGTTAGGGCTTTAAGCTCCAAGAACAGCCGCAGAGCTCGCAAATTTGGGTGTTTTTATATTTTCCACTTCTCTTTCTTGGAACATATATATCAAATTTTAACAAATAAAATTTAAACTTGAAAAATAATATTACCCTTTGTCTTCAATTTAATTAATTTTTTTGGAATGGTAACATGAAATTTTTAGGGCTATTATATTTGCATCCCCAACGTCAAAAGTGGTCTTATGTGGCCATCGTGTTAAATAAGTCTGAACGGTTTGTAACTACATGATCGCTTATAAAATCTCCATTGTCTCTCTCTAAAAAAAAAGAAATTGTTTTTTTGCATCTTCTATGATGTTGGAGTAATTTTTTTAAAACGATGTTCGACTATGTAAAGCATATAACTAGCATTTCTTCTAAGACATAATCAAACTCTTTTGAATATAGTTAACGACATATATCTAAATTAACTAAATTATGTTAACTTTGACAAACTTTTATTTGTTTCCATAAGTGACTTAGATTAGATAAGAGAAAAATAGGAGTAGCATCATAAAAAACAAAATATTTGTCCAATTCAATTAAAATTCAAAATAAGTTTAGATGGAAGTGATTTTAAGAATAACAATCACTTTTTTTTAATGCTTTTCAAGATCACTCTCAAACCTGTCCTAACTTGGCCCATAATCAAACCACAATCAAGCCCATAATCAAACCACACTCATATTCGTAAACAAATTTATCATTAAAACAATAAGGTCATGAATGCAGAGCTTTCTTTGCAAAGGAAATCCTTCATACATTTTAACATATCCTCTTTGAGTACAAACATGGAAATGGATCACATGGTAGAATGAGTTGAAAGTTTCAGCCCAATGGATCACAAGCTTCACATCCAGAGCAACCTCATATCCAAAACTATAGACTACCAAATATAGGAAGCAATTTGGAACCATTTTAATGGTCACATTGAAACAGTATAGATAAAAAAATCGAAAAGTACTTCTCAAGTATAATAAGGTTGAAACATCCTAGCTCCTAACAACACATAATATCTATCTATTCTATTATCTCTTTTTCTTTGCTATTTAGAGATGAATTTCCCAGTGGTTTCCAGAAAGATTTGGTTTACCTGGCGGTCGTTTATTGGATGAATGGTCGCCGTGATTCGAAGGTGCTGATTATCCATTTGTGGGTGTAAACGATTCTGCTGGAGAGAAGTCTTTGCTATTGCCCGTTGGGTCCCCATCCATTAGGTAATTGAAGTATTCTAGTACCTATTAACATGTAAAGAAAATAATATGTTACAAAAGAATAACTGGGCAGAGGATAGGGATAAAGTCAGAGATTTTAATTAAAAAGGATATATTTTATGTAACAATTCACCGCTGGCAGATATTGTCTTCTTTGAACTTCCCTTCTGGGCTTCCCCTCAAGGTTTTTAAAACATGTCTGGTAGTGAGAAATTTCCACACCCTTTATGAAGAATGCTTTGTTCTCCTCCCCAACCATGTGGGACCTCACATTCCACCCCCCCTTCAGGGCCCAACGTCCTTGATGACACACTGCCTCGTGTCCACCCCTTTTGGAGCTCAGCCTCCTCGTTGGCACATTTCCCAGTGTCTGGCTCTAATACCATTTGTAACTGCGCAAGCTCACCGCTAGCAGATATTGTTTTCTTTGAGCTTTCCCTTTTGGGCTCGCCCTCAAAATTTTTAAAATGCATCTACTAAGGAGAGGTTTCCATAGCCTTATAAAAAATGTTTTGTTCTATTCTCCCCAACCGATATGGGATCTCACATTTTACCTTTTAGACGAGGAAAACATTAAAACTCAAAATATTTATGTCTTCTTGTTTATGTCTTCTTGTTTATATCTTCCCCCTTTTGTTTTTTCTCCTCCCCTGACAAAGGGAGGATGTTGTCCCTAGTCGGAGTTTAAGTAGTGAAAGCTATTGCCAACAGTGATGCAATGGAGAGAAGCTAGCCATAGAGACAAGAACCATGAATATAATACTCTCAAATTGCATGGTCAATACTTCATTCAAATTGGTTTCAAGTCCAGTGCAATACATAAAAGAAGAAACTAAAATGGTCATCAGAAATAGTGTAGAACCCTTGTTTAACTAAAAAGTTCGATACTGAACTGTATGCATGGTATGAATTCATAATCAATCCAAGGAATAAGAAACGTGTGACTAGCCACATAAAACAAAAATGTGAACATCAAGGCTCTGTTCGATGATTTTTTTTTTTTAAATTGTGCTTGTTTTCTCACCATATCTTAGTGCTAATAAGCTTAAGTTTTAAAAACTAAATAACTATCGAACGAGTCTAAACAATGCAGAGGTGATAGACAAATAAAGATATGAAGCTGAAAATATATGGGGAGAGTGTTCACCTTGGTCATAGTTATTCTCTTGCGAGGATCCTTCCTCAGACATTTTACCACTACATCAACCATCCAAAAGAGTTGGTAGAAATCATGGCAGTCTGCTATTCTTGGATCTATTAAATCAGGGTAGTTTCTTTCCTTCAGCAATGGTCTTGCCTAAAAAAACACGTAGCACAACTTCCCTTGGTAAATCTTAAAAACATGAAAATATCAGGTATTTAATGCATACATACGGGCACTCAAGCAGATTGGAGTTTGAACAAAGGATCTTCTACTTTTATACCATATTAAATCATTCCACTTATTTACCATTCTCATTCATTTGTTCAGAAAAGACAAACATCAGGGCTACATACTGATCACTTATAGTGATTATTAGCTTAATTATATTTTGTCACATTTAACATACAAGTTTTATTAAGATAGCTCCTATTAGAATATGACGAGCAGATCAAAACATCTTAGCAAAGAGCTTATTACTTACCCAGCCCACAAGACTCTTTCCTTCAAATATCATGTCCGTGGTCCTCAGGCCAGTAATAAGCTGTAATAAGACCACGCCAAAGGCATAAACATCAGTTTTGGTAGACACTTTACCAAATTCTGCATATTCTGGTGCTAAGTACCCCAATGTCCCAACAACCCTCGTCTCTGCAGAGTCTTCATACTGAGTTCTTGCTAGACCAAAATCTCCTAGCTGAATGTAAGAAAAGAAGCAGCAACGTTTAACTGATTTCTTAATGTAATTCTATAAATTCAATGGAATTCTAAAGTTCCACGAATCTACTAGCACACGATTGAAAGTTAAGGGATTCATTAGACATAAAATTGAAATTAATATTTGATAGATCAATTAATTTCTTAAGATTTTGAATTTGATGGACGCATTAGACAAACAATTGAAAGTTAACTTATTAAACACTTTTCAAAGTTAAAAGAAACTAAATAGATACAAACATCAAAGTTTTAGACTAAACTCCGAACACAAGCTAAAGGAATTTATAATCGTGAAAGGACCATAGTCGAGCACGAAGGAAATTATTACCCGCGACTCATAATCATGAGTTATGAGGATATTATTTGGTCTCATGTCTCTGTGGATAATGTTATTTTCATGCAAATATTGTAAGCCTCTAGCAACTCCTCTAGCTATCTTCATCCTCTTTTCCCAACTGAGAGATCTGCGTGCAGTCCCTGCATAATTCCACCAAAAAGAGATGTGTTTCATAACTACAACTTTTAGTTTATTTACAAAAACAAAAAAAAACATATAAAATAAGAGTAAACACAACAAACATTCTCCTACATAATTAATTCATTTGTTTCATTTTTATATTATGAAAGAGACATGATAATGCATTTGATAACAATATTAGTTTAAACTATGTATTTTTTCCTTTTGTAATATTTCCCTTCAAAATTTCAAATGAAAAATTGAACATAGAATGGAGTGGCAGTCTAGATGACCATGTTGTTCTTTGGTCGCTACCACACTATTTCAGGTCTCAATCTTTATATGAAATTTATTCTAAAAGCAGTTTTGAAACATTATTGAAATGGAAGAGAATATTGCAATAAGGGTATTTTTTAAACATAGGTTTTTGTTTTTTCATATATATAGTTTTGCCTGAAAATTATCTTTTCTTATCAATTGAGATTTAACACAATTTTTAAGCATGCTCAACAGAGTTCAACTTCAAATAGGTAGTGAAATCATCCTCCCCAACCTAAATTGTAAATAGAGTTAACTAAACAATACTAAGATATAATATGCAAGGTTGATATTAAGAACATAGAACTGCGATCAATTTCTCAAACCAAATGCCAAACAAATAACCTAAAATATATTTTCCCATGATCGACATACAGTTTTTTTAAACAATTTTGAAAAACAAAGTATATTACCAAGCTCCATGCGGAAATCCTTACTTGACAAGTGTTTCTCCAAGGATCCATGGCAGACATACTCATAGACAAGCAGCAGCCTGCGAGTTGCTTCTCTACACGTACCCAAAAGCATCACCAAATTCTCATGGCTTACTTTGCTTAGAACATTAACCTCAGATCTGAATTCCTTTTCTCCTTGAGAACTCGCAAGTTTATGTTGCTTCACAGCGATTCTAATCCCGTCGATTTCACCGCGATAAACCGAACCAAATCCACCTTCCGAAAGGAAATTGCGATCCGAAAATCCATTGGTAGCCGCATGAAGCTCTGCGTAAGTGAAATCCCTCTTCCATCCAACAAAGGGCCGTCGGATGTGGCAGATCGAACAGGCGGAGATTTTGAAGTCATCATCGGAAATGGAGAATGGGCAAGAAGATGAATCTCCACCTCCTGAAGAAGCTTCTTTCCGCCTTTGAACATGCAGAATCGAAGATCTCGATTCTTTGATATTATAGCTCGAGGATGATTTGCAAAGTGAAGGTGGTTTCTTGTTGTTGCCAAGGCGCCATCCTAACTGCGTCTCGAAGAAATCTGTTTCTTCCGCATCTTTTTCTAAACCAATAACGCCCAGAATGAAAATTTGAACATACAGGAATATTTTAGTGAATTTCCGCGCGAAAATTCAAGTCTATTTACTGATTTTTAAAATTTTTTTTTATTTTAAAAAAATCAACTTTTACCCCTAAATTATTAATATATGGTAAACTATTTTAATATTCTATTCAAAATTAAATTACGTATAAATAAATGAAAATTTTATGATTTTTTTTTTGGTTAATTTAAATTGATTTAATTTCATAATTATTTCTTGAAAACAAAATTTTTATAAATAAATGACTAAAATGACTTAAAAGTCATAGGTTTATAATTAAATAAGGCTTGATAGCTTATGATGAAAGCAGACAATATCATATGATTGTAGAGAGTCGTGTTCATCAAATAAAATCAACCTAGTCCAATATTTTACGATGGACGGGTTGAACGTTTATTATCTAATAAAACTTACAGAGGTTAAAAAATTTACAACCCATTGACCAGCTTGTTGGATGATGAAAGTCCCACATCGGTTAATTTAGGGAATGGTCATGGGTTTATAATCTAAGAATACACTCTCCATTGGTATGAGGCCTTTTGGGGAAGCCCAAAGCAAAGCCATGAGAGCTTATCATACCATTGTGGAGAGTCGTGTTCGTCTAACATGGTATCAGAGTCATGCTTAGCCGTGTCAATAGATTGGCAAATCCTTAAATGTCGAACAAAGGACTCCAAAAGGAGTCAAGCCTCCTCGAAGGTACGAAGGCAGTCAATATCATACCATTGTGGAGAGTCGTGTTCGTCTAACACAGCTAACCCATCAAATGCAAGAATTAAGAACACAAAGGAAAGAAAGAAGGGAGTTACCGGGCGGAGAGATTCGAGTTTGGTGAGGGCTTCCAGGTATCATCTCAGCATAGCTAAACTGATGGGAAGGGGAGGCTTTGGCCAACTCCTTCTCCTTCTCCTTCTCCTCCTCCTCCTCGCTTCCATATTCCATTCCCAATTTTCCTCTCAACTCCACAACTCTGCTGTCCTTTTTCATTCTTGATATCTTGCAACTCAAATTCTTCAGAAAGAACTTTCGGTCTCTCTTCATACGTCTGCAAATTCGTAAGTTTCATAGAAACATTAAAATTTAGGGTTAAAAATGATGTAATGGGACGAGTTTACGGGTCGAGTAACGACAAGAGGAGGACTAAAATGAGATGAATTGGGTCGAGATTCACCTGTCGAGGATGACCCAAGTTGGTTTATAGCTCGTAGCAGCTTCAAGAGCGACTTTCTTTACGGAAGGCCCTGCATGAACTTCCACCTTGAATCTTATCTAACAAATTTACAACAAAATAGGCTCAATATTTTTAAATAATGAACCAACACTGAATCAATTAAGGCTTCAAGTTTGAATCCTCTTAGTTAGTCGTATAGTGTGCTAAAAAAAAGCTTACCGACCTTTTTGAGTTCACAAAGTTGCAAAATTTCAAGCATTTGTTCGTTGGTAGTGTGTTCTTCCAATTTCCTTGCGCTTTCTTTCGCTATCAAGTTGTCGTTGAGCCCTATCATAGAGTTCGAGTCCACTCGCTGCTTGTGTCCCACTGGTGAAAACGAACAAAAAACGACGTTCGTTTTAGTAGAATTAAGAATATTTAGATATCATTTTGGTCGATATATTTTGAACTATAGTTCATTTTGGTTATACTCGACTCCTCCAAAAGGAAAGATGTTTAAATTCCCGTACACTTTGTTGAACTAAATTAAGAAAGAAAAATCTTGTTCGTTCTAGTCTCGTAGCTTTCAAAAGGTTTGTTTTGGTCCCGGTAATTAAAAAAAAACTATTTTGATTCTTATTCAAAAGTTTCAAACACAAATTTGGTGCACAACAAAAATCATATTCCAAGATGTCTTGAGAACGAGGAGGGAGTAGAGACAGATTTCTCCTCCTCATCCATTAAATTTGGTCATGGACAAAGATTATCCTTCCCGACCCAATTCACACACATATATATAGAATCCAATCCCCCACAAATTCCACTCGGGTAATCTCGATTATATTCAACGACCCACATCGCCCCAATTCCTACCAAGCCTCACTTATATATATATGGTAATCCAATCCCCACAAATTCCTTTTAGGTAATCTCGACTCCATTCCTCATAAAATAGGCTAAGAATTTCGTTGGAATGGAAAATGAAATAGGAGGTAGGGACGGGAACAAAGGCTTCTAAGTCTACCCGTCCCGTGAACATCTGTAATCATATCTTCAAATTTAATCGATATATTTACCCAAATCCACCGTAAAAAGTAAAAAAAGAAAAAGATGAATGAAATCTTACACATGGAAGCTTCCATCAAAGCATACATACTAGGATTATTAGCCTGATGAAGAACAAGTAGTAGCTTTATTTCATCTCCCTTTCTAAATCCACAGTTCCTCACCATCCATTCAATTGATCCCATCCCTCCATTCCAACTCAACTTCCTGCTTCCATCTTGGATCACCATCACTTTCTCTCCTGATCCTCTTTCCTCCTTCGCCATCCCTCGTGTTTCAAAACTTTCGTATTTTCTAACAATGTTTCAAAAACAGTTATCCAGACAGACACGAGTTCTTCGACCTTGGCTCGGTCACCGAACCGATTCACCTTCTAAGAAACTAAGAACAACGCTTTGGATGAACTTATTTCAAACACGAAAACGAAAGAGACTTGAAAGAGAAGACGAAGAAAAAGGGAGAGTTGATGGTTAAGTATAAGAGAGGCCTCCAACATCATTACCAATTTTCTCTGTGCAACTATATAGTTGAACCAACTAATTATTATAATTATTATAATAAATAGTTTATAATATATTAAGGGTGTAACCCAAAATTGCAAAAATCTAAATAGGGTTGAGTCGGGTTGAATTTATTTGGCGTTTCATAAAATTTTGGTTTCGTTGAGTTTTTTTAGGTACAATAACGGTTTTGAAGTAATGTATATAGTCTAACGTTTTGAGTCGACTTTTAATTCAACAACTTGTGAATGATGGAATTCAAACATTTGACCTATTGGTCGAGAGTATATGTCTTAACCAGTTGAGCTAAGTTTAAAATTGACAATTAAATTGATAACTGCATCTCTTTTCATCGATAATGGGTGTCGAGACCTAAAGTTTAAAAACTAAACTATTATTTTCGTGAAAGTTTCGGAACCAAAAGTGAGACCTATCATCCATCAATAATTGACGTCGGGACAAGCGTAACGTCTACTCATAAGATAAAAATTCAAATAGGTAACTTTACATGTACATATAAATGAATTACTAGCATTTCACTATGTAAATCACATTAGAAATTACCTAAGCTTGGTTTTTGTACTTCTCTCTTCAATAAGTCTTCTTTGATGGCTGGCATCTCTCATCTCATCACCAATTGATGACCCCAAAGTTTCTTCTTTACAATTATTTTTTATTTTGCAAGATTCTTGTTGTAAGAAAATTGTTTGTTTTGTTTCATTGAACCTGGCCGCTCAGTTGGTTTGGGTGCACTTTTTCGATAGGCCGGGAATACACAGGTTGAATTGATATTTTTTGAACCAATCGAAAATTTTAGGTTAGATGAGTTGGAGATTCGAATAACCCGAATAAAATTCACAACCTAACCATCTATTTCGAGTTGGGTTGGATTAAATTTGATTGTAAGGTTGTTCGTTTTTTTTTTAATTATTTAAAAAAAATCTAGTTATTCACATGTCACGTTAATAACTAAAATCTCATGAATTTCAAATATCAAACATTCAAAGTCATCACTAACATTTGTTACGAACTCAAATATTCTTAACTTTTATAATAATTTTAAAGATAAAGTAAAACTAAACTCAATTTTAGGTTGGTTGGATTGACTAAACCAAAAAAAGTTTCAACATACAACAAACAAGAATTTTTTTTTTTAAATCATATGAACACTTTTAATATATTAGTTTTTTTTTGTCCCCAAGTGTATCTATATTAATTTATTGTGATGATAGAACTTAGGTTGGCCCTCATTATTTTAATATAAGGTACCAATCATATGTCACCATCATTTGAATCTAATTACTTGGTATCATGTTGTTTCATAATTAACTAAATTATGCTATTTTAGTATAAGGTATCAATCAATTTCTTTCAAACTACATTCATATGATTTTTTTGCATTAATAAAATAAAAACATTTTTTTCTTTTATTATATATATATATATTTCCAATATTACATGTTCCTTTTAAGTGATTCAATTATTTTCCAAATATTATATTCTCACATTGAAACCATAAAATTGCCTTTAAAAAAACAACTGCAAAAAATACCATTTTTTAAATATAAACTACTTTAAATATATATATATATATATTCTTCACATCCCTGGTCGGGCCTTTGTAACATATTTTAATAATATTTTTTTTATTAAAAAATATTGTTTTAATTATTTATTTGGAATTGGAATCTTACTGACTGACAGGCAATGGTATTAGACGAGAGAATCAATGTGTCTGAAGGGTTGAAAAATAAAACTTAATTAAAGGATGAGAAGAAAAAAAAAATTAAAATTCCGTTCCCTGTTTTTTTTTTTTTTTTAACCCTCTAGGCTCTAATTCATACCTTCCAAAGGAATCAATTTGGAAGAAAAATAACATTTCAACTGATCAAATTGCTATAAGACTGGTTTAATTAATTGTTCTAATTTGAGTTAGATTTTACATTAATTAACAAATTTCTTGAGAATTTGAATAAAATAACACCTAAATTTGAATCGTGTAACATATTCTCGACAATAACGACAATCTCATTGATAAAATTTTGGTTAAACCTGCACCCTATCTCTTAAAATATTGGAAATTTTAATTTTAAGGAAGAAAAAAAGTCATAGCCTTCAATATTGAGGACAAGGAAACACTCATTGGGAATAGGGTAATGAATGATGTGAGAGAAAAAAGTACTTACTTTCCCAAGGGAAGAACCTGTCTTATGCTGAAAGCAGAGTAACAGCAATGAATAACAAGAGAGACAACCCTAAGCAGAATCCAACAATCGCCACAACTGCCTGGAGATGGGTTAACTTTGAGCATAACATCAATGAAATGAAACAAAAAACGCAATGAATGTATAGAAGTTTCGTTTCTAGTAACCTTCCCCTGAGACTTGAAGTTGTATTTGACTGTGAACCACGACAATCCTCTGTCGACGAACGGCGCCATAGCAAGAGCTCTGCATGAATGAGAAGCTTTGGTTTAACAGGTTGCTTCCTCGTTTCAGGAATTGAAATGGGAGTGAGATTTAATATCCAACGACTTTCGATCTGTTCTTGAGAAACTTGTAAAGCTTCCCTTTTTTAAAACACCGACGAGATTTTAAATATTTTTTTTAACAAAATCAATCTTGAAAATAGATTTGAAAGCAAAGATTAAGTTAGCAAATGAGTTGTGAGATCCCATATCAGTTGGGGAGTTGGGAAGTAGAACAAAACATTTTTTATAAAGGTGTGGAAACCTCACCCTAGCAGATTCGTTTTAAAAACCTTGAGGGAAAGCCCGAAAGGGAAAGTCCAAAGAGGACAATATCTGCTAGCGGTGGGCTTGAGTTGTTACAAATGGTTTCAGAGCTAGACACTGGGCGATGTGCCAGCGAGAAAGTTGAACTTCAAAGGGGGTGGACAAGAGGCGGTGTGCCAACAAGGACGCTGGGCTCTGAAGAGGGGTGGATTGAGGGGTCCCACATCGATTGGAGAAGGGAATGAATGTCAGCGAGGATACTGGGCCCCGAAGGGGGTGGATTGTGAGATCCCATATCGGTTGGGGAGGAGAACGAAGCATTATTTATAAGGGTGTGAAAACTTCTCCCTAGAAGACGCATTTTAAAAACCTTGAGGGGAAGCCCGAAAGAAAAAGACCAAAGAGAACAGTATCTGCTAGCGATGGGTTTTGGCTCTCACATGAGCTAAATTATAAATATAGAAAACTGAAAACAAAGATGTTATCAAGTAGGCCTTTCTAAGTTATGGAAGTTGGAAAAGAAAGGCAACCATTTGACAAGTGAATGCCCTTTCCACTAAACAAGTTGAACCTTACAGTTCATATAGTTGGGTTGTTTAATGATGAGCAGAATGACGTATCAGAAAAGTACTAGATAAAAAGCAGGAATATAAGAGCTCACCCTGCTGCTCTTGCCAGCTTAGTAACTTGGCTTCCAGCCCAGATTGTAGCCATTATCTTGAGAAATCTACAAGGTAATAATGTGTCGATGTCTTAGTATAAAACTCCATCCTACACAAATATTTCTTTCAATATAAAACCAAGCTTTCATTGAGAAAAATGAAAGAAAACGTTCACCAAAATGATAGCTCAACAAAAGGAGTAAAGCAACTAGCCATACGAAAAGGGCCTCCTACAATAAAGTTTTTCACCTTCCAGCAGCTGCAACATAGCCCATTTTCGCAGGTGCTGGTGCAATGTAGAACCTAAAATGCAAATAAATAACATGATAACATGACTAAGTACACTGCTAATGGAAGAGAGACGAAATAAACAGAAGACAAACGATAGTATGACATAAGGAGTGTTATTATTATTATTTTTAAATAATAATAACATAAAATAAGTTATCGCCCGCTGATCGGTAGTAAAGGTGTTTTTAATCAGAGTCCCACTAAATTGATATTGATTGAAAGCAAGAATCATGTCCAAACCCTTAGCCCGTACATTCTGAAATTCTAGCTCTTCGAAAGTAGAGTTCCATAAGGTCTTTTTATCTAGGTGCAAGTAGTGTGCACTATAGTTAACAACCACGTCCTCTAATGCTCTGAGCTATAAGCGCTACCCAATCTCCATTGGAACCAAAATCTCGGGATATCCTGAAAAAAGAGCCTTTCCTCCTCTGAACCATCTACCCATTATGAACAAAGATCCTCAAGAGTTCTCCAACATCCAATTCTAATCACCTACCCATTATCCCAATACAGTCCCCAAAGGTATGGAACCCCATGTTGACCACTGCCCAAAAGGCAAGATCAATATCAACATTAGCTACAGTCATTACGTGAAAAAAAGTTCCGCAAAATAGTTACTTGATAGAATTAGAGAGTACAGGTAATTTGGTAATTGGCAGTGTAGTTTGTCAGAGAGAATAGTAACGAGCGGAATTAACCAACAAGACGTAGCAATATTGTGATTGTTCAAGGTTGAAACTCACACGGGGGGTTGAGGGAGGTGGAAGCATCCAACTTCCAAGAATTGCTTTCAAACATCTTACTGTAGTTTCTTAATTCTTACCTATCTTTCTATACAATTTCCAAGCCTAATCATCTGGTTCCTATCATTTCCATCCCCGAACATCCAATTCTAATCACCAACACGCATACCAAATAACCTCCTAAACTTATGAAGCCTTTAAGTCTCTCCTACGTAGTAGTAATTCATAATAGTAGTAACTAAGTAGTAAATATAGAAATGGACTCACCACACAACAAGAAATGTTGTAAGATAGTAGACTGTATTCAACAATCCATAAGACAATATTCCAGAAACTCCATATCTCCTCAATTTATCCAGCACCCTACAAGATGAACGTGTACTAGAATAAATGAGCGAAAATGAAATGTAATGTCTCCAAGACTGATGTATGCCTAATATGAAGTGTGCACTGATGCGTCCAATAAGATGTTTGTTTCATTTCAATAAGGCCAAGAAGAACTTTGTTTCCTTTCGATAAAGTCAAGCAGATTTTGTTTCATTTCGGTGAAGGCAAGAAGAGTTCTTCGTTTCCTTTCAATAGAGCCAAGAAGATCTTTGTAACATTTTGATAAAGCCAAGAAGATCTCTGTTTCATTTCATGTGGTTGCTAAACGGAAACTTTGTTTCTTTTTCAATTTATAACTTTATGTATTTTGTACCCAACATTAATGTACTACAAAATTCCAGAATCGCAAAGCTGACTTGACCAATAAGTAATGATATTATAAAAAATAAATATGAAAAATTGCCTGTCTGAGGGCTGTGACTTACTCTTTGATATGACTTATTATTCTTAGGGGATCAAATATATTCTGAGACCCCCTTTGTTCTTAAATGTAAAATAATATACCAATATAAACTAAAAATGACATTAACCAACAAAACAGTACAAATATTAGTGGAACATGAAGTAGACTATTTTTGTTGCTAAGCTTTGTTGTACAAGTATGACTTTGATTAGAAACTAGAGAGTAGAGAGAGATTGAGCAGAAAAAGGAAGGTCTCACCACCTCCATGGCATTATCAACAGAAAAAAGCAGTAGCCTTAGAATTCACGAAATATATGCAAGGCAAGTAGTAGTACTCAATCGATTTTCGCGGATGTTTTTTATGATTTTCATTCTTTTCCATCGAACCTAACAAGAGAGAGAATGAAAGGGACGAGAATTCGTAAGTTCTTAATCAAGAATATGACATTTAAAAATTTAAAGCTCACTGAATGCATCAAGACTCAACCATGAGTTCATAGGTTCGGTTTTTTAATGCCATACCTTCAGTTTCATGATTGGAAAAGCCACTTTCCGATTTCAATGGATCATTGGCCTACGACAGGACATTGACAGTATCTAATCAGTAATACATACGCCTGTCCAAATGCAGGAACATCCATGCCTAAAATTTCATTTACTGCCACATTCTATTTATATAAACAACTGAAGTCAATAAAAGTAAACCAACAGTTAAACATGCAAAATATCTTCATAGAAATAGTCTTCCAGCGACTTCATAGAAGTGTCAGTTCTGAAGTATATAAGAAATAATAACACAATTCAAACGAAAATAGTGATGGGGCCAAATGGAATGCATAGAACCAAGCATACCAAAGCATTCATTACCAATTAGACAAAAGAAAGGCATGATGGTACTCAGAGGGTGCAAAATCAGGGAAATTAGAAGTTTGTAACATTATTATCGCTCCGCGGACCGAACAATTCAATTGGCAAGAGACATCAATAAGCAAAACAACACAGAAACCATCCCAAAAATTAGGGCGTAGATTCTGAAGCAAGTGGACAAAACACCATAGAACGAAAGAATTAAACTGCAGAAAGTGAAGGAGATTGCTGTTTTGCCAATTCACTGAGAAACACTTACGCTAATTTCGGCATTGTTAAGGCATTGTCGGATGCTAGGGTTCCGACTAACAAAAATGTTATTCGGCTTTGAGACGCGAAAAGGCGGGGAAGCTCTGAAAATTGTCTTCGGCTGCAATTCGTTCGAACCCTGAAGAATAACAATTCGGGAAGATGATAATAGAAATTAAAATGTTCACGCATTCAGATTCTAAAATGTCGCAGAATTTTCAAAATCGAGTGAAGCTTTTACCGCCACCGGGAAAACGACGCAAGGGATGGCGCCATTGGTGAGCTTAAGTGGAGTTGGCATTTGAAAGAGAGAGAGAGAGAGAGAGAGGATGATCAAATGTGAAGAGAACTAGAGTTTTGCAAATGATAAAAATGGAAACTTTTATAGCAAATTTTTAGACCAATTCCATTAGGTTGCAATTTTTAGAGATTTAACTAAGGGAGTGAATACTCTCTCTATTGACTAGAAATGAGGATTTCTTATCTCGTTAAATTGACATCTTTTATAAGAGTTCAAGCTCACTGCTAGTATATATTGTCAATTTTAGTTTGTTACATATCGTCGTCAGCCTCACGGTTTTAAACACATCTACGAGGTAGAGGTGTCCATACTCTTATAATAAATGTTTCATTCTCATCTAAAACTGATATGGGACCTCACAATCCACCCAAAACTAGTGTGGTTGGTTAGGGAAAAGTTCTCACATCCCTTCTAAAGAATGCTTTGGGTGTACAATTTTATAAATATTTTAATATTATTACGAGAATAGAAACCTATTAGAATTTTGGATGAAAAATACTATTGTATTTTTAAATATTTATATTTTAAAGGTAATTTTTTAATATTTAAGAAAAAATCAAAATAATGTTATAAAAGCAATTTAGCAAAATAATATTCATAATAAACACACAAATAAAATTTTAGCTTCGCCATTACAAAATTAAAAGAAAAAGATTAAATCGTTAAGAGCTCAATTGAAGTTTTGAGATTAATTTGGATAATTGGCTGCCCTTTCCCCTAATTCGTGACATTTTTGTATCGTTCTTCCCTTAAACAATGGAGAATTTGCAATTTGTAGTTGTAACAGGTGCCTTTAGGAATTCCAAGATCGAAAGTTGATTCTGCGCGTTAATTGAGGGAAAGTTTCAAGTTCATCCATGGAGAGGACGGAGCGTCAACGTCGAAATCATCCTCCCTATCGTTCGGCTGCACCATCTGATTCCGCCGGATCTTCGACCTCCACTTCCCGCAGATCTTATTCCAACCGCAGTAGAAACACCGACTACAAGCATTCTAAGTACAATACCAACGGTAATCTCAGCTTTGAGGATGATGCTGACTGGCGTAGCAGAAGAAGTAGCGATAGTAAAATCTATTTACAGAAGCTAGAGGCGAAAGAAGACGACGTTGGACATGATGGCCGTTCTCACTTCGATCTTCCGCCGGTATTAGTCGGCACTTGTCCTTCCATGTGCCCTGGTAAGTTGAAACCGTCCACGTGTTCCAGTTTCTTGATCTTTGTTGTGGCGAGACTATTGGACTGTATAAACGCTCTCAAATCCTTTCTGTTTTCTGTAAACATTTATCTGTTTTGGTTGCTCACAGCTTCTAAAAGGCAGGGAAAATGTGTAATTCTGTGCTATATGACAAGCACAATAACTCATGCTTGTGGGCTGAGCTCGATTAATCCTCCAGACTGCTTAATTTTTGTTGGATTAGTATTTCGGTTTTGGGGTGATACTGTTACACGAATGTTAGCTTCCTCTTCTTCTAAATCATATATTAGCTGCTTTATTAAGAGTTTTCATATTTGTAAACAGAGGCAGAAAGAGCACAGCGTGAAAGGCTGCGAGATTTGGCTATATTTGAAAGGCTGCACGGAAATCCTAGAAAAACATCTCCAGATCTGGCTGTCAAAAAGGTATTATCTACTGATAGTTGCTTTATGTTGCATCTTAATGCTTCTTTTTTGGTTTCTAATGCCAAACAGCTCGGCCCCTTCTTTTATTTTTTCTTGGTTGGAGGAAGTGATTTGTAGATCATATTCTGAAAATCAAGATACAATTCTTTCTGCCATTTGCCAAAAAGAAAAGGGGAAGAAAGAAGAAGAAGCTATTACGTATGAATTTGGCAGTATATTGGAAGTATGGAACTGTCAATTAATTCATTTAGGGGCCTCCAACAATTTATTTAGTTTCCATTATCGTTGAAAAAGTGTTCTATGATCCTTCATCTTTCTGGTGAACCTCTTTTTGCGATTTAGAATTGTTGCTTCTCTTGTGAAATTTTCTGACTAATTTGCAATATTGAATTCGTTAATCGTGCATGGAAGTGAGTATCACTACTTTGAACAGAATGATAGCTAGGCATTTGCAACTCCCAATGACTTGAATCCTCTATTGTCATTGGCTCGTTCTGCTCGAATATAGATTAATAATTTGTGATATCGTTGATCATGATGGATAGATTGGTTTTTTCTTTCACCACGTTTCTTGGTAGGTATCATCTGCAGTAACATTTCACTTGTTTAGTTCTGCAGAACAATGGTCGCCAAGAGTGACCAAGCATTAGATGTGCGGCCTCTACCTGTACTGGAGAAAACATTGAAATATGTCCTAAGCTTTTTGGATACTAAAGAGCAACCTTTTGAAGTGATTCATGACTTCGTATTTGATAGAACAAGATCTATAAGGCAAGACCTCAGCGTACAGAATATTGTTAATGAGAAGGCCATCTACATGTATGAAGAAATGGTCGGTATCATCTTGTACTTGTTCTATTCTATGCATCACTCCCTTTCCTAGAAGTGAAGTATTTTGAAACTTGATTCTATGTAACTGTGTTTTAGGAAACTATATAACTGATCGTGGGGCGTGTGCTCGGTCCTTTGCAGTAGTTGTCTTACTCGAAATTGTTTATTTCCTTTTATGTTCTTAACTTAAATACCCCACCAATTAGTTTGTGCGGCACCTGGGATCTCGTGCTCTTGACTGCCTTTGATATGCGCAACTCTTTTCTATTATTCTGATATCAGATGTTCCTAATTCACCCTTACTTCGTTTTTTTCAACATTTTTTTAAGAAACTAACGATGTAATTACTGCCATATCCACTACCTTTATGAGGCAAATAACGAGCTTTTATGGAAAGATAGGGCCCTAAATGGGTTTTAGTTAGCCCATTTGCCTTATTTAGTTTTTTATGATGTTTAAGGAAAATAGACATTCAAAGATCTAAAAGTAAATGCAAAGCTTTTGTTGGTTTTTGTCTTCTTTCTTGTATGCCTCGTATATTTATTTATTTATTTTGGTTGCTAGCAAATATGGATTGTGTCATTTTGCTGATGAATGAATTATTAGACATTCATCTTTTCAGATCACATTTCAATTACTGTTTAAAAATTCTGACCAATGATCTTTAGTGTATAAAATATTTGGAACTGTACTGCAGGAAGAACTTAAAGACTTCAAACATGTAGAAATGCATTTTGAACCTCAAAGTTTGCGAACTGTTTGGTTAATTTTGTTGGAGTAGATGAAAATGCACCCCTATTTTTATTGATCTTGAATCTTCTTCATTACAGGTTAGATTTCATGTCACATCACACCAGAAGCTTTTAAATGGTGATAGTAATTCAAATGCTTCCTCAATGCATCACCTCAACATGCAGCAGCTCTCAAAGGCTTTGATAACACTACTTAATCTCTATGAAATTAACAGAACCAACGGTGCTATCTTTGAAAATGAAGCCGAGTTCCATTCATTGTATGTGCTGCTTCATCTGGATTCGAATAGCCAAGCAACGGTCTGTTCTCTAGCTTACTGAAAGCATTGATATTTTTTTAATCAATACAGTACAATCTACTGTTAGCTGTGTCCTATGAGTAACACATTGCTGTCTCTAATTTGTCAGGGGGAACCACTTACTTTGTGGTTTCGTACTTTACGGTCTCCTGCGATCAAGTCGAAGGAAATGTGTTTTGCTCGGACAATTTTACGGTATACTATTTTCTTCTGAAGATTTGTTTGGTTTTTGTGTTCCAGTAATGCCTAATGATGTTTGGAGAGAAGTTTCCTTTTCTCATCTAACAATCTTCACTTTTCTTTTCTATCTGCCCCTGCCGTTCATTTGAACAGATATTTTCGGATGTGTAATTATAAGGGTTTCCTTTGTACCATAGGAGCTGAGGCTTCCAACCTTCAATATTGCATTCTTGAACCTTACGTTAATGAGGTAACCATAATCTTGAAACTCTCCCCTTCGATATTTTAATCTGAAATTTGTATACATGAAAGGATAAGTCAAAGGGATGAGAAGGAAGCCTTCAAGTTGGCCTTAATAAAAAGTTGTTGATTTCGAATCTCAATTTTGATGAAGCTGTCAGGTCTCGACAAGAACGAATAATATAATTTTGATGAATGTTAGAGCTATTAGATCTCGAGAAGAACGAAGAATATAATTTTTATGAATGTTGGGGCTGTTAGGACTCGACAAGAATGAAGAATATAATTTTTATGAATGTTAGGGCTGCCAGGTCCCGACAGGGACACTTAATCATTTGGTTAGAAAAAAGAGAACTCAACCGTTTTTTTCTAAGGCATTTATCGCTCACTATGCAGATTCGAGCATTAGCTTTGTCTTACATAAACAATGGTGGATACAAGCTTCATCCCTATCCTCTGGTGGATCTATCCATGCTTTTAATGATGGAGGTATAATAATAATTTATGACATAACTTATGATCTTCTTGATCGCTTATGTAAAGATCTGCAGTTGTTTATTGTAAATTTTGAAGCTTATTTCAGGAATCAGAAGTGGAATCATTTTGCAAGGCCTGTGGTCTTGTAACTTCTGGAGATGAACTAGGAAACATGTCACTTCCTACCAAACAAACAACATTTTCCTGTCCCAAAGGAGCGTTTCAAAGATGCAGCTTTGTGAAGCTGAAATAACATCAAGGGTGGCTATCTATACAACCCATTGTTTCATCATTTTTCTTTATAGATTCTTGGGGCTTAATTTCTGGTAGGACTATTCTATACTATCCCAGAATTTATATTGTATTGTTGTCTCTTAGGATAAGAACTAACTATGTACTAACTATGTAGCATCTATATATAAATTGTATAATGCCATGATTTTATTTAGACGATTTTGAGTTTATTTTATATGGAATCACGTAAAAATAATTAAAAATCACTAACAAATGATCTAAATTGGTTCGCTTATGTAAGTTTATAATTTAATTTGATGTATTGATAAAAGTTTGATATAACTGAGTTTAGGGGTATAAATTGATTGTTGCTTCTTTGGTATATTTCATCGATTTTCTTATAA